GCCTATGGAAGGGAACATCGAGGGAGAGAATTTGCAGATATTATGCTTTCTACTTCATTCCGGAACAATGTGGTTCATGCATTGAAGATTGGTGGTACTTTAGTTAAAGTGCTTCGCTTGGTGGATGGGGAGCAAAGACCACGAATAGGCTACCTTTACGAAGCAATGGATAGGGCAAAAGAGGCTATTCGAGACTCTTTTAGCGATAAAAAAAAATATAAAAGAGTCTTTGAGATGATAGATAAAAGGTGGAGCAGTCAGATTCATCGCCCTTTGCATGCAGCTGGACTTGTTTTGAACCCGGAACTGTTTTATGACAATGAAGAGATGATTATAGGAGATGAAGAATTGTGGAGTGGAAACATTGAATGTATTGAGAAGTTGATACCTGAAGAATCCGTGCAAGATAAAATAACAGAGCAATTTAGTATTTATAGGAATGTTGAGCAACTTTTTGGAAAATACATAGCTATTAGACAAAGAAAGATGAAGTCACCAGGTGAGCGAGTGTTTATATGTTGCTTTATAGTTAATAAGTTATTTCTTTATAAATATTATGTTTTGAATGTTTGTTCTACTTCTACAGTTGAATGGTGGAAGCAATGTGGCCATTCCACTCCAGAATTACAAAAGTTTGCCATCAAGGTTCTAAGTCTAACGTGTAGCTCATTCGGGTGTGAAAGGAATTGGAGCGTGTTTGAACATGTAAGAACTAAGAAGAAAGATTTAATATATTGAGATAATTAAATTATATCTCAATTGTCCTAATCTTACTAATTACTTATTATTTGCAGACTTATACCAAAAAGAGGAACAAACTAACCTTGAAGTGTGTCAATGATCTAGTCTTCATAAAGTACAATAGAACATTGAGGCATCGTTACAACACTCGCAATGTAATTGATCCAATTAGTTTGGACAACATCGATGATGCTAATGAATGGATAACTAGAGTCCCGAAAAATCATGCAGATGAAGAAGTATTTGAGGAAACTTCTGATTTCACTTAGGGTGATGTTGCCGAGGCGCAGAATTGGGGAGAAGATTTATGGTTTGAGGGAGAGTACCTCAACTTCAAGCTCACAGAGAAAGGGAAAAGAAGCAGCTACTTTGTCCCTAGTTGATGAAGAAGAAGAAGAAGAAGTTGAAGAAGATGACGAGCAATATAATAATGATAGTGGAATACAAGAATTTGACAATCTTGTAGAAGAATAGGATACTCATTTTGTGCTTTAATTGATGTTACTCTTTATTTTTTACATTGAAGTATTGAACATTTGCTTACAGTTACATGTGTTGTCTATGCAGTATTTATTTTAATATTTTTTTTAAATTCCGCTTCACTTCAAAAAAGCGAACACTTCGCTTCTCGCTTCTTACTTTAAATGGTTTGTCGTTTTTACTCGCTTCACGCTCTTCACAACACTGGCTTAATTGCAGTTATGTACTTAGTCGCATTCATCATTGCATGTCATATCTCAGTCTCTATTATCATACATCGTCACATCATGTATCATTGATTTGGGTTGCTTAGCATGAGTGCTATGAGCCCGAGAGACTGAAGAGATTGATTACTGAGTGAAGCCGAGGGCCTGTGTGTGAGTGATAGTTATGGGATCGTTTTGCACGCCGCAACAGGCTTTATTGATTCATGCCATGATTGGCTTATTATTACGGTTGGGCTGGATCTGCCCCTCCGGAGTCTGCACACCCACAGTGAGCGCAGTTGCTATTGATTCACGATATTTGATTCGGGCTGGATCTGCTCTGTACAGTGCTGAGTGATTAAGAGTGATGAGTGAGAATTGAGACAATCAGGTTGAGTACTCCGAGAGTGTGAGTACGTGAGGCTTTCATTGTGTTGCATCACATATGATATGCATATTGGCTTGTAGATATAGAGATGTCATATTCCTCATATCTGTTCTGAGTTTAATTGCTAAACCTGGAAGCATGTCTACATTCCTGTACTAGAACCTAGATATTACTGTCATATGTTCTGTAAATTTCCAAACTGTTTAATTATGTTTTTGGACTGTATTGTTCGGACTCGTCACTGCTTTCAGTCCAAAGGTTAGACTTGTTACTTATTGAGTTGGTTGTACTCACGCTACACCCTGCACTTCGTGTGCAGATCCATGTGTTTCCGGACACGGTGATCGTTGATCTCAGAGTTTTCATCCGTTCGGAGACTATCGAGGCAGCTACCTTAGCGTCCACAGATCTTGACTCTCCTCCCCTATCCCTCAGTTTTACTTATTAAGTTCTATTTTCTTAGACAGTGTATCAGACTATGTGTTTGTATAGATGCTCATGTACTCAGTGACACCCGATTTTTGGGAAATTCTGTATTGAGCTGTGACGTTTTCATTTAGTTTTATGAGACTTTTACTTAAGCTTATTTCCATATATTTTAAATTTCAAGATGTTGGTATGTGTGAGTTGTCGGCTTGCCTAGTATCATGATAGGTGTCATCACGGCACTTGGGATTTTGGGTCGTGACAGTATCTGAATCAAGATTCAACATTTGCAATATGAAATCAATTCGCTGCAACAAAATCTATTACCATAAATGTTATACATGTCCTCAATTATAACAAAGTACAAAAGTTTAACAACAGCAGATGGGCATAAAAGTTATCTCACCTGGTACTTTCTTTCCTTTCCTTCCGAGGCACTAAGGCAAGAGAATATAGGCAATCAGAATATTTTTAAGGTAATCAGCAGATAATAAACTCATCAAAGTAACTAGAGTTTACCGTGACATTGGGTCGGAGAAACAGCTTCACAAGATTCTCAGGTTGATAATGACAATCTTCTGGAAGTAACCTGTTACACGGTGTTCTATTTGCTGGAAGGAGTAGTAACTTGGGATTCTTTGGAGGAGCAAAGACATGCGATAGATCAGTGTCCAATGCTTTTGTGAAAGAAATTTCAGGTTCTGTTTTTCTGCTCTTTGTTTTCTTAGTCCTTACTGGTGATCCATCTTCCTTGCAAGGCTCCTCTGAGACTGAATGTGATGAGTTATTAAACACCAAAGAAACTTAAATTGCTAGAGATTTCTACCATGATAAGAGAGATGAAAAAGTTAAAATTCCTTTTGGAAGTCCTAAAAAAGCTTACCTTTCACCTTCCGATACTTCCAATGATCAGGACCAGCCCAGGAATTGTGCTTCGAAGAAAATCCTAAACTTAAAAACAAGTAATCATCAACTCTCTCAGATCTGTCATCATCCTCAGCATCGGGAAAAGTAAATGGTTCACTGCCCTGCAAGACAAAGCCCAAAGAAATACCAGATTTCAATTGTTCTCTTTTCAAAGGCCTCAACTACAAATTAGTGTTGAAGGCAGCAACAAATAAGTGTGCTTGCCACCTCCTGTTGGCTTGATGAAATTTGATCAACATCCTGAGAGCCTTGCTCTGCCACATCTATTCCATCATCATGATCCATTGGCCAGGCTCCACAATTGTCAAATGCACCATCATCAACAACATCTAGGCCAAACGATTCAGAAGTTTGTTCTGGTGAAAGCTGGCCAGAAAAATCTGTTTCAGCTGGAACCTGCATCTCTCCACTGAATTGACAAATCATATGCCTCAGACTCGGTGATATCTCGTCCTTCTTGGGCATATTCAATACCATTTCTTCAACACAATCTATACTAACAGAAAAAATTTATAACAATCAATTGATAGTGGCCCACACAATGGAACTTCCACCATCTAAATACAAAAAGAACCCAAAACCACGTATAATTCCAAAGCCACAAACCTTTAGCAAAACATATATCAATGGAATCTGTTCTATCATTCTGAATTGCTTCTGGTATTGACTTCCCAGGTATCTCGCATGAATCGAAAAGGACACTGCAAGTACCATAGATTCCTAGGTTATTCAACAAAAGACCCTTTGCACCACCTTCATCAAACTGAGCTGATGTCTGATGATAAAGAGGGTCAACAGCAAAAGCGGCTGCAAAATAGACAAATTAACCGTTTATAAAGTGAAAAAGGATAAATTCAGCCAAAGAATAAAAATATCAAAGATAAGAAGCATGTATACCATCAAATTTCTTCACATTGATAGAATCGAATGATGACTCTAGTGTTGATAAAGGTGATAACTGCAATTGTCACTCAAATTAGTTTAGGAACAAGAAATCATTTTGCGTTTGTCATAAATAGAGGAAGAATGTTAAGTATTAACCTTTTTTTCTTGCTCTTCTCTGGGATGACCTTCCTCCTGGTCATTTTCAGCATTGGCATCCTCTACAACAGGATCTGGCATACAAGCAAAATATTAAGAGATAGAAGAATAAATGCACCAAGCGTCTACGTGACTCCGCAAACATTCAGTACACACCTAAGAAGAAGAGAGAGAGAGAGAGAGAGAGAGAGAGAACAATGTCGAGAAAGGTTTGGAAGCATAAAATAATTAGATCAAAAAGATAAAGAGTCATTCCAATATTTTGAATGCCTTAGCATGATAAGGCACAAGATTTAAAAAGAGAAAATAAAAGAGGAAATAAATTTTGATTCACGAAGTATTCTTCAGGGAAGATTCAAACTAGAAAGAGAACGTAATTTGGAAAAATAACAAACATTAAAAAAAATTAAGCTTAAAGAAAGCTACCAATGACGTAGAATTATTCTTACAAGGCAGTACCCTGCTAGAAACCTGATAAAGAGTTCATTGTATGCACAAAAACAAAACATACCTTGATCATTTCCTTTACCAACACGATTGATTCCTCCAAGAACTTTATATGCCTCTGAATGTACTGAGTCCACCCTCATTGAGTAAATCTTAACTCCAGCCTCAAGGGTACAACTAGCCTAAAATCATAAAATCACAAATAGCAAACAAACATGTCAGCATAGTATGTTTGTGCCTGCAACATGAGAAAGTTATGATTTTAAGGTTAGAACGTCGTGGTTTGCATTTTATATGTTACAAAGTGCAATAGGATGGCATCATATCCATCGGCCATTGCCATTGCTCGTGCACGAAATTCAGTGGAACATCCAACTAAGTGTACATTCATACTTAAGTTTGAACCTTTAAACACCCCCACCACCATCACCACCCCCCAAAAAAAAAACGGAATAACCAGAACTAAAAAAATTGTATCTGCGTGATAAGATCAAAAAGCTACCTTCTGAAAGTTGGTCTCAGAATCATTCTCTTGTTCAACTTTAACGATTTCGCATAGATGATCAATCAAACCTAGCTCCCAAGTATTCTTCTGATTAATTTTCTGTTTCCAAGTAGAAATAAAAGTCAAAAATGAATATTCATCTACAAGGAAATGTGAACAAAACTTAGAAGAAATGAGACATTTTCACTGGCGAGTTTGATGCAATTCTGGAAGAGTTCGAGAATCTGCTGCTCGTCAAGACAAGTAGATGGCGGAGGCGGGACAGGGAGAGGTTTGCGACGGATGACGGCAGCACGGGCGGCGCGTGCTCGAGCACGTTCAAGCTTGTCATCATTGGAGCCCAAGACAAATTTTGTCGGAGAAAATGGGCCTTTCTGTTTGGTATTAGGGCTTAGGGTTTCGGCCATTGCTGTTGTCAGTTTACAGATTTAGTGGACTTTACGGTCGCCGGAAGTGAACCGGAAAAGTGGTGTGTGGTGTAATTTTGAAAGTGTGCGCCGGTGGATGTTTCCTGTGGGGGGGAGGGGGTGTGGAGAATGGAGCTTCTGATTATCGGCCGGATCTGGGAAAGTGATTTGAGTTTTCCCACCTTCTGAAATTTTGAATTTGGGACGCTATGGGAAAGCAATTTATAACCTGTTTTTATTTATTTTTTTCCTTAGAATCATTTTTTTATCTAACTTGATATGTTTGACCAAGCTTTTTTTGGGGGAAAAAATGCTTTTGGGAAGAAGCAAAAGCAGTTTTTCAGAAACAGAAAAAAATAGTTTATTCCCAAAAGCAGAAACAGAAGCAGTTTTAACTTTTTTTCTTAACAAAATATGAGTAGTATTTACCAAAATAACCGTTAAACATAATACTTAACATATTAATGTATAAATATTTCTTATTATTTTTAGGATAACTTACTATTATATAGTTACTTTAGGGGTGAATGCTTTTATATTTGTTGAATTATTTTTAATATATTTAATTTATATTAAAAGAATTAAGTACTTTTAAATTTTATTTTCATATTTTATTTAAATAAAATGAAAAGATTTAATTATTGCCTGTAATAATAAATTTTTAAGATTATTTATTTACTTATAATATGAATTATTAAATACATTTATTCATATCCTTATTCGTAATTTGATACTTAAAAGCACTTTCTGAAAAGTTTGGCCAAACACAAATTATTGCTCAAAAGTGATTTTCAGAATGATTAGCCAAACACAAACTGCTTCTTTTCAAAAATACTTTTTTCAAAAGCAATTTTAAAAATAAATATTTCTCAAATTAACCCAATTTCTCCAACTTGGCCAAGCATACTATTACTCTTTTTCTTTTTCAGTTTTACTTTGGTTGGAGCATAGATATAGTACTGTCACAAAATTAATCACAACATAACATGTACTACGTTATTTTATGTAGAGTTGACTATGGAATAAGAATTTGAGTGTTACTAATACATGAAAAGAATAGAAAATAATACAAAATTATCTTAAACTCCTCATCGGATTTATTTCCTCATTTTCTTTGAAAGTACCTAACAAGATATAATCTCAACATTACAGCTTTAATATTACTAATTTTGTCACGAACCAAATTTTTCTACGAGCCGTGATGGCGTCCAACATCGCCACTAGGCAAGCCAATTGTGCACTAACCATGTGTTTATTCTTTTAACCTTTTAAAAATAGTTAATTTTTAATTATTAAATAAGTAAGAGGTGAGAAATTTAGTAAAATGAAGCGTAAACAATTATAGGAACAAATGTGGTGAAGTAAATACTCAAAATTATCAAGTGTCTACTAGCGAAATTCCAAGACCTGGTATCACAAGGGTATGAACTACTAGTAGAATATACAAAACACTAAGCTACTGTCTGAAATAAAGTAGACAGAAAACAAAACACAAAAGAAAGACTTCGGGTGCTGCAAAACGGACTCGGGAAGCAGCTCACCGCTAAGTCTCGGAGTACCAGGAGTGCGCGCCGGGATAACCACCAGATGCACCTGCCTCAGAACATGCACGGTTAGTGCAGAAGTGTAGCGTGTGTACATAAACAACATGTGCCCAGTAAGTGTCACGGCCCAATTCCATTATAGGTTGTGATGGTGCCCAACACCGTTGTTAGGCAAGCCAACACTGATCAACTAGTGACTTCCCGCTTAGATAGATTTGTAAACGATAGCTTTTTCCTTATTTAAAAAAAAAAAATTAAGAGTTTGCAATTTTAACATAAATAAATGGAAGTAATTAGTATTAATCGTAATTATGTGAGCAAACCAAAACCATAAGTCTACAAGTGTGTTTGACAAGACCTGGTGTCACACGTATGTGGACAATCTAGTAGAATATACAAAACAATGCTAGCCTATTGTCTGAAAGAAAATAGACAGAAAATAAAAGAACATAAGAGAGACTCGAGCTGTTGCAGAACGGCTCAAAAGACAGCTCACCGGGAAGTCTCGAGCTGGGAAGTCAGTCTACGCGCCAGATTGGTGGCCAGATGCACCTGCCTCAAATCCTGTACAATCAAGTACATAAGTGTAGCGTAAGTACATCAAAATATGTACCCAGTAAGTATCCAGTCTAACCTCGAAGAAGTAGTGACGAGGGGTCGACTTCGACACTCACCAGGGCCAACAATATAATATTATGTGATTCTAAATAAGCATGATACACATAACTAACAATAAACTCAGAACAAGAAATAATTGTACAGTTCTTCCATCATATCTAAGAAACCAAAATACTTCCTTCATTTTTAAACAAATGACCTCTAAAACAGTAAATTTATACCAATTATAAAAAGGGCTTCCACTTCTATTATCACACACAAATTCCACCGAGGACGTTTGGCCCGATCCAACATGAAAATGTAAATTGTGCACTACCGAGGGTCGAACGGCGCGAACCATAGATGCATCTATTAACCTGCCGAGGTGAACGGCCCGCTCCCATGAGAGTAGTGGAAATAGTCACCCCGCTCGCGAAATATACTTGCGACGCGGTTAAATATAAATATAACATATTTTTTCTCAATTCTTTTCAAAATATTAATTTACTTGAAACCTTTGAAATCTTAAAATCCTCAACTTAGTTCCATTCAATGCAAATAAACAATTATGTTCGGATAACGGTGCCCACAAAGCATGGAGTAAACCTAGAACTACCCGGACATAACAAGAATAGTAGATATGTACGGACTCTCATCACTTCGTGCGTACGTAGCCCCCACAAATAATCATACATTAATTAAGTTCACCTATGGGGAAAATTCTATCTTACAAGGTTAGAAAAGAGACTTACTTCGCTTTAAGGCCTACTTTCCGGTCCAAGCTTATGCCCAAACCCTCAATTTAGTGCCGAACAATCCAAAACTCAACTAGTTGATGGAAATCCCCTCTCTAACCAATTCCAAAATCACCCCCAAGAAGAGTAAGAAGTGAGCAAAAGTGCTCAAACCCCGATTTAAAACATCACTGCCCTTCAGCGACTTCCGCACCTGCGGTTAAATTGGCGCACCTGCGCTTCCGCTTTTGCGGACAACTCACGCAGGTGCCGACCAAAGCCATGCTGCCTCATCTCACTTCTGTGCCCAGGTGATCGCACATGCGGCCACGCATCAGCGACAAACGACGTGCACCTACGACACTGCCCGCTCCTGCGATGCCTACCTTTGTACCTGCGCTTTTGCAGGTGCGGTCGTTCTTTCGTTTCGGCGATGGCTGGGCAGCCTATGCTGGGACGGATCTGCGATCATGGGGCTCACACCTACGAGCTCGCACTTACGTCTGACCAAGCATATGTGCGATTATGATAGCAGTTGGAGCTTCAACTTTGCTTCCAAATTCCAACTTGGTCCGAGCCTTGTCTGATTGACACTCGAGGCCCTCGGGGCCCCGTCCGAATGTACTAACAAGTTTGAAATCAGAAAACGGGCTCGCTCAAACTCTCAAGACGCCCGAAACAACATTAAAACTAAGAATCACACATAAAATCAATTGAATGAAACTTAAGAACTTCAAGTTCTTTGATTTACTTCCAATGCGCTGAAACGTACTTATACTACTCGGAATAACACCAAATTTTGCGTGCAAGTCTTAAATGACACTACAAAACTATTACCGATCTCAAAATTCCATTTGTACCTCGATATTACCAAAACCCGCTCCAAACCAAATTTTAAAGAACTTCTAAAACCTTCAAGAATCAACTTTCACTATTGGGCGCCAAAACACTCCCGAGTCATCCAAAATCCGATCCGAACATACGCCCAAGTCCGAAATAATCATACGAACCTATTGGAACCGTCGAATCCCGATTATGAGGTCATTTACTCAAAATGTTGATCGAAGTCAAACTTGGCCTTTCAAGCCAACCTTAAGGAACCAAGTGTTCTGATTTCAACCCAAACTCTTCCAAAATCCGAACCAACCATTCCCGCAAGTCATAAATCAGTAAAAGCATGTATGGGGAAGTCTTATTTAGGAGAACGGGGTTCTAGAAAGCAAAACGACCAGTTTGGTCGGTATATTCAACACCTTTTAAACAAACATTCGTCCTCAAACGAGTTTAGATTCATACTTGAAATGCTGAATAAGTGTGGGTATCTGTTCCGCATGTCCACCTCGGACTCCCAGGTCGCCTCCTCGACTGGTTGGCCCCTGCACTGAACCTTTACCGCAAAAATCCTTTTGGACCTCAACTCGCGATCCTGTCTAGCAACTGGCTCTTCCTCATAGACCAAGCTCTCATCTAGCTGAATAGTGCTGAAGTCTAACACACGTGATAGGTCAGCATGGTACCTCCAGAGCATAGACACGTGAAAAACTGGATGAACCCCAGATAGGCTGGGAGGTAAAACAAGCTCATAAGCAACCTCCCCAACTCGACTCAACACCTCAAAATGGGCCTATAAACCTTGGGCTCAACTTGCCTTGCTTTTCGAATCTCATAATACCCTTCATCGGCGAGACTTTCAAGAGAACCTTCTCGCCTACCATAAATGATACATCACGCGCCTTCTGATCCGCGTAACTCTTCTGTCTGGATTATGCTGTGCGAAGTCACTCCAGAATCAACTGTACCTTTTCCAAGGCATCCTTCACCAAATCGGTACCATATAACTTAGTCTTGTTAGGCTCAAACCACCCGATAGGAGAACGACATCGCCGACCATATAAAGCCTCAAATGGGGCTATCTTGATGTTGGACTGATAACTGTTGTTGTAAGCAAACTAGGCCAGAGGCAAGAATCGATCCCACTGTCCTCCGAAGTCAATCACACATGCTCTCAGCATATCCCCCAATATCTGAATTGTCTGCTCTGATTGCTCGTTGGTCTGCAGATAAAACACTGTGCTGAGATCTACACGGGTCCCCAACTCACTCTGTACGGCTCTCCAAAAATGTGAATTAAACTGAGAGCCTCTATCTGATATGATGGAAACAGGCACACCGTGCAACCAAACTATCTCCCTAATATAAATCTGGGCCAATTTCTGTGAAGTATAGGTAGTCACAACTGGAATGAAGTGTGCCGACTTAGTCAACATGTCGACAATGACCCAAACTGCATCAAATTTCTGCAAGGTTCGCGGAAATCCAA